GATGGATATGATGGAGGGAGAGAGGGGACAGGTGTGTGACAGGTGTGACACAGGTGTGTGTGACAGGTGTGTGACAGGTGTGTGACACAGGTGTGACAGGTGTGTGCCAGGTGTGTGTGACGGGTGTGTGACAGGTGTGTGACAGGTGTGTGACACAGGTGTGACAGGTGTGTGACAGGTGTGTGACACGGGTGTGACAGGTGTGTGACAGGTGTGTGACACAGGTGTGACAGCTGCCGGAGGGCCCCTGGCGCGGGCACTGCGCATGCGCACAGCGCGGCTCCCACGCCGTCTCTATGGCCCCGCCGGCGGCCGGAGCGCCGCGCGGGGGGCGGGACCGGAAGTGGCGTCACGCCTAGCGTCTGTGAGGCGGAGGGGCCGCGGTGAGGCGGGAGCGGCGGCGGCGGGTGAGGGCCACGGCGGCACGGCCCGGCGGTCCCGAGGGGGCGGGCTGGGTGCCACAGTGCCTTCCCGGGGGGCTGGGGCTCTGCTGGACTGCCGTGAGGCGCGGTGGCGGCGCCAGGCCCTGCCCGGCCCGAGCGGGCCGTGGTGGGGAGGTGGGGCCGGGGGAGGCACGGGGCGGGAGGCCTGTGGGGCGGCTGTGGTTTACAAGGGGTTAAACTGTGTTTGAGTCCCGTGCTTGCTCGAGGTTGCTGTGTTTACATTTGGGGGGCCATGTTTGCCTGTGGGGGGCCCCTGTTTCTATATGAAGCTCCCTGTGTTTACCTATGGGGGCCCTGTGTTTATCTCTGTGGGGGGCTGTGTTTGCTTCTGGGGGCGTCTTGTGTTTTGGGGGGACCCTGTGTTTATCCATGGGGGTTCCCTGTGTTTTTCCATGGGATATCCTAGTGCTTATTTTTGGGGGTTCCCTGTGTTCATCCAAAGAAGGCTCCCTGTGTTTATCCATGGGGGTGTTCCCTTGTTTATTTTTGGGGGGTTCCCTGTGTTTATCCATGGGAGGGGTCTGTGTTTATTTTTGGGGGTTCCCTGTGTTTATCTGGAGGGGGGTTCCCTGTGTTTATCCATGGGGTTCCCCTCTGTTTATCCATGAGGGGTTCCCTGTGTTTATCCATGGGATATCCCTGTGTTTATTTTTTGGGAGGTTCCCTGTGTTTATTTTTGGGGTGTTCCCCGTGTTTATCCATTGGAGGGGGGTGGTCTGTGTTTATTTTTGGGGGTTCCCCGTGTTTAGCCATGGGAGGGGTCTATGTTTATTTTTGGGGGTTTCCATGTGTTTATCCATGGGAAGGGTCTGTGTTTATTTTTGGGGGTTCCCTGTGTTTTTCCATGGGGTTTCCTGTGTTTATCCATGGGGGTTCCCCTCTCTTTATCCATGAAGGGCTCCCTGTGTTTATCCATGGGATATCCCTGTGTTTATTTTTGGGGGTTCCCCGTGTTTATACATGGGGTATCCCTGTGTTTATTTTTTGGGAGCTTCCCTGTGTTTAGTTTTGGGGGGTTCCCCGTATTCATCCACTGGGGGGGGGGGGGTCTGTGTTTATTTTTGGGGGTTCCCCATGTTTAGCCGTGGGAGGGGTCTGTGTTTATTTTTGGGGGGGTCCCTGTGTTTATCCATGGGATATCCCTGTGTTTATTTTTGGGGGTTCCCTGTGTTTATCCATGGGATATCCCTGTATTTATTTTGGGAGGTTCCCTGTGTTTATTTTTGGGGATTCCCCGTGTTTATCCATGGGAGGGTTCTCTGTTTATCCATGGGATTCCCCATGTTTATCCATGAGGGTTCCCTGAGTTCATACATGGGAGGTGTCTGTGTTTATTTTTGGGGGGTCCCCTGTGTTTATCCGTGGGGAGTTCCCTCTGTTTATCCATGAAGGGTTCCCTGTGTTTATCCATGGGATATCCCTGTATTTGTTTTTGGGGGTTCCCTGTGTTTATTTTTGGGGGTTCCCCATGTTTATCCATGGGGGATCCCCCTTTTCACCTTGGGGGTTCCCCTTTTTACCTTGTGTGGCCCCTGTGTTTACCTGTGGGGCTGTGGTTGTTCCACTTAGTTACAATATTTACCATATTTACCATATTTACAATATTTGGGATCCCTGTGTTTTCCTGTGGGGTTCCCTATATTTTCCTGCAGGGACACAGCCACCCCCCAATCCAACCCAGGATAGTTTCATTTCTATTTGCACTCAAACACAGATTTATTGTTGGGTGGTTTTCTGCTAAAAGGAGGCTCTTGTTGTTCAGAAGGATCCCTGTAAGGTGATGATGTGTGCTGAGCTCCTTCCCATGTTTCCTAAGGGAGATTAAAAAGAAAACAGGAAATGGAATGAAGCTTTAGCTTTCCTGTGGATACCCAGGGATGTGTTATCTGTGTTTTGAGGGTCAGCCATCTCCTTGGAATGCAGGCATTCTCATCGTGGGTTAACATCAACACACAGCCACAGGAAGGAGAGGAGCCTGCTCCTGAGGAATTTATGGCTTTGTGACCAAATTTAATGTTTTCTTCCCTTTGAAGCATCCCCTGTTTTCAGCCTGTGAAACCTGGGGGAAGTGAGATTTTTTTTTTTTTTCCTCACCCAGGTTTTTTCTTTCCCCTTGCATCTTTTTCCATGAGGCTCAGCTTGCAGAGACTCCAGCTGCCTCTTCCAGAAATGTGATTTTTACATGGAAGTTGATCTCCCTGGGCTGTCTCCTGTGTTTCTTTGTGCTGCTCACAGTAAATATCAAACATTCTCCCTCTTTGATTGCAGCATGAAAGGCAAATCTATGCATTTAGGAGCTTGTCATGTCTCCTGTTCTCTGTGATGCTCGTGAGCCTGTCACTGCGAAATCTGGGATCAAAGGAGCTCTTTAGCTGCTTCCAGCAGTGTTGGAAACATCTGTCTAAACAAATTGGAGTTTTTCCTCCCTGCTTCTGACAGAACTCGAGTGCTGGGAAGCAGAGCAACTATTTTTTAATTCATTTATCTAATTGTGGCAGTGATGCTGATGCTGCCTTTGCTGCTTTTCTCCTGCATTCCAATTTTTGGGGATTTCCCCTCCTTTTTTGTGTTTCTCTGTTGGTTAGGGTTCCCCTCCTGCCCTGTATCTCTGTTCCCTGAAAGATTTTGCTTTTCATTTGCATGTGCAGAGATCAATCCTGAAAATTCACAGGAGCTGTTCTGCCCCGGTGTCCATCTGCCAAAACCAGGGAAGTGAAGAGAAATTCCCAGTTTGGAATCACAGGGAATGTTGCCTTTATCCCAGACTGGAAATGAAATCTGGGAAGTGAAGAGAAATTCCCAGTTTGGAATCACAGGGAGTGTTGCCTTTATCCCAGCCTGGAAATGAAATCAGGGAAGTGAAGAGAAATTCCCAGTTTGAAATCACAGGGAATGTTGCCTTTTTCCCAGCCTGGAAATGAAACTTGAGATGATTTTAGTTAGGAGGTGATATAAGAGCAGATCTTTATTTGAAGGCCTTCAGGGTCTTTTGTGAGTGTCTTTTTTATATCACCTCCTTACTAAAGTTATCTGGAATTTCATTTCCAGCTTGGGAAAAGGCAATATCCACCAAAGAAAAGGAGAATATCCACAGGCAGGACGAAACACTTAAATATTTATTTTGGATTTTGAATTCAGCCAGTCAAACAGAGATCTGCAGATCCTTATTTGAAGGCCTTCAGGGGCTTTTGTGAACATCTTCTATCACCTCCTTACTAAAATTATCTGGAGTTTCATTTCCTGACTGGGGAAAAGGCAACAGGAGAATATCCACAGGCAGGATGGAACACTGAATATTCCTTTTGGATTTTGAATTCAGACAGACAGTCCCCAGTCAGACAAAGATCTGCAGACCTTTCTTTGAAGGTCTCCAGGGGCTTTTGTGGACACCTTTCTTATAGAGCAGGTCTTTATTTGTAGCCCTTTAGGGGCTTTTGTGATCATCTTTCTTATATCACCTCCTTACTAAAATTGTCTCAAGTTTCATTTCCAGCTTGGGAAGAGGCAACAGGAGAGTATCCACAGGCAGGACAAAACACTAAATATTTCTTCTGGGTTTTGAATTCAGCCAGTCAAACAAAGATCTGTGGATCTTTATTTGAAGCCCTTCAGGGGCTTTTGTGAACATCTTACATTACCTCCTTACTAAAATTAACTGGAGTTTCGTTTCCAGGTTGGAAAGAGAATATCCACAAGGCAGGACAAAACACTAAATATTTCTTTTGGATTTTGAATTCAGCTGGTCAAGCAAAGATCTGCAGATCTTTATTTGTAGGCCTTCAGGGACTTTTGTGAACATCTTATATTACCTCCTTACTAAAATTGAATCTCGAGTTTCATTTCTAGCTTGTGAAAATGGCAAAAGGAAAATATCCACAAGGCAGGACGAAACACTGAATATTTCTTTTGGATCTTGAAATCAGCTGGTCAGACAAAAATCTGCCAAACAATGGGGAAGGCAAAGCCCCAAAATCAATATTTATGATTTATTGTAAATTATTTTGTATTATCCTGGGATTTACACACTGCCTGGGATGGTTGGGATGTCATTTCCTCCCCACCAAGGAGAGAGGAGCCAGCAGAGCCTGGCAGGGCTCCGGGGCAGCGGGTGCTGATTCAGGTTGTGCCTTTGTGCATCTCGTTGCAGCGGCTCTGTGCCAGAACCATGGCCACGGACTGGCTGGGCAGCATCGTGTCCATTAACTGTGGGGAGAGCCTGGGAGTGTACCAGGGCAGGGTGTCTGCTGTGGATCAGGTCAGCCAGACCATCTCCCTCACGCGGCCCTTCCACAACGGCGTCAAATGCCTCGTGCCAGAGGTCACCTTCAGGTGAGTGCCTGCCTTGCCCCCACTCTGGGCTCTTGGTTTGGAAAGTCTGCTGAGGAAGGCAGGAGCCTCTCCTAGAGTGGGAAATGTAAACCCTCTCCCTCTGAATTGTTATAATTTTGGAAATTAAGGGGCTCTCTGGCAAAGATATGGGAGTAGGAATAACAGTTCTTTATTAGGAAAAAAAGAAATGCAGTAGTACAAAACAACCCTGCCAGAGTCAGAGCAGGAGCTGACCCCCTGTGGGTCAGGGTGGTGCCATCCCATGGTTGAGTTCGAGGGTCTCAAGACGAGGGAAGAGATGAGAATCTTGACTCCATGTTTCAGAAGGCTGATTTATTATTATATTACGATATTATATTTAAATGCTATACTAAAACTATACTAAAAAGAGTAGAGAGAAAGGATCCTTCAGAAGGTAGGAAAGGGAAAGGAAAGGGAAAGGAAAGGAAAGGAAAAAACAAAAGCTTGTGACTGCTCACAGCCTCAACACAGGTGGCTGCCATTGGTCACCAAGCAAAAACAATTTCACACACTGGGTAAACAATTCTATAAATCATATTCCAAAGCAACAAAACATGGAGAGGCTGAAGCTTCCCAGATTCTCAGGAGAAAAGATCCTGGCAAAAGGATTTTTCATAAAATATGTCTGTGACACCATTCCATGGTGGCTGAGCCCTCCTGCAGTGCCAGCTCTGGTTCTGCTGGAGCAGGGATCCTGCACTATTTTAATTTAGGGATGGGGTAACTGAGAGGAGTTTTAAAAACTTTTATTTTTAGCTTTATGAGAAGGATGAGATAATACAGATATCATCATTTATGCTATTACAATTAGAAGTCAAGCTATTTCTTAATTGTTGCCATAGTTTTGCAAGAGAGACATTTAGGGAAGTGATGCAAAGCATTCACCAGCACAAAAAATGAACATTTTTCTTTCTACCCTGTGAAGGTTTTAGGCTGCTTTAGCCTTCTCCTGATCGTGTCTCCCAGCAGGGAGTGAGTGCAGGGGATTGGCCACACTGAGCCCAGCACACTCCTCAGAGCTGGGAAATCCCAAATTGTGGCATCTCAGACTGGTGACCCAAACCCACTGAAATTGTAAACCACTAGAAGTGGTTCTTGGTTTATTAATTTTTTGTTCTACTGTGTTCTAGATGTTTTAATGCAAATCATTTAAAATTACTCATTGTAAGTTTTACTATATTTTTATAATATATATTACTATAGTATAATATTTTTAGATATAAATATATTTGTAAATTTAAAAATAATTAATGTATTATCTATAATAGATAAACTATATCTAAATATATGAAATATATTATATATACATTTATAAGAAATATGTGTAATTTTATTTATAATATTATATATTATATAAAATGTACTTCTGAAATTATTAATAGATATCAATCTATAATATATATATAAATCTATAATATATAATATGGTATAATATATAAAAATAGATATGTATTTAATGTATGTTAAGTATTTTCTATTTGAATATATTATATATGATAAATATATATATTTTCATTTATAATTTTTATTAATCTATATTTTATTTCTTTATCTTGCTAGGATTTTGATTTCTGTTGTGTTGTAGCAGAGGGGCTGAGGTGCTTTTTCCCAGCTTTGCTCGGCAGTTGTGTCCCACCCGTTCCTGCTAACCCTGTGCTTCAGAGCCATGAGTAGGAATCACTCCTCGGTGCCGTTCTCCTGTTCCCTGAAGTGTTGTACTTAAGGCTCTGAGTCACTCCTTTTTCAGTAGCACTGACTCCACAAAGTCAGCACTCGGAATTTATTTTTTCCCCTTGGATTTTGAAGAGAGGCACTGGTGGCAGACAGGGGATGGGTGGAAGTCTCTCTGCTTTCACATCCCCCTTGGACAAATGCTGAGTTGAAGCTGAAGAGCCTAATTCCTGACTTCTGCCTTGCAATCAGTGCAAATGGAGGGCTTTAGAATCACTCCTTTGTTGTCTTTTGGCTGGTGCCCAGTGCTAGATTAGTTTTCTTTATCCTTTTTTCTTTGGAAATGGGAAGTATCCTCCTTGTCTGAGCATGAACAGCTCTGATCTGAGGGTAGCTTTCTGCAGAAATGGATTAAAAGTAATAGTAGCCTCAGGGCTGAGAGCAATTAATTAGCTGGGAACTGTTAAATTAATGCAGATTTCTGCAAAGCTCTGGGCCAGTTGCTTCCATTTTTTGCTTGACTGATTCCTGTTTCAGCTGCAGAACCTTTCAAACAAAATCCAGGTGCAGTGCAGGCATACTGAAGTGGTTATTTTGAAGATTTGCTATTTCAGCTGAACATTTTGATGTTTGCGTATGTTTGAGCATTAAAATCTTTTTATTCCCCGTTTTAATTGATGGTGACATCAGAACAATCCCATTGGACACCGATGTTTTTCCTCAGGAGGGTTTTTCCTGCCAGGGTGTGTGCTAAATTCCTGCTGTTCTCGTGCTGTTTTTAGGGCAGGTGACATCACTGAGCTGAAGATCCTGGAGATCCCGGGGCCGGGGGACAGCAGGCAATGCGGGGACTCGCAGCACATGGACACGGCCATGCCAGGGGTGGGCTGCCAGGTGGGGCCCAGCCAGAACGGCACTGGCAAGGTGCTGAAGAAACCCATGTCCAGCAGTGCCCCACAGAACATCCCCAGGAGGACAGACATGAAGAGCCAGGACATTGTCATCTCACCACAGCAGCAGTGCTCCAAGAGCTACATGGATCGACACATGGAAACGCTGAGCCAGTCCAAAGGCTTCCGGCGGAGGCACAACTCCTGTGAGTGTGGGGCTGTCCTGCTCCAGCATCTTCCCTTTGCCACCAGGCTTTGCTGGGAGCTTCCCCTGGCCCACCTGGGGGTCATTTTGAAATAAAGTATATTTCTGAGCCCACCTGAAAGGTGGTTGTAGTCAGGTGAGGGTTGTCTTGGTTTGGAAATTGGTCTCTTGTTCCTGACAGAATGAGAGGACACAGTCTTAAATTTTGGTTGGATGTTAGGAAAAGGTTTTTTACTGAAAGAGGGATAAAGTACTGGATTTGTCTGCCTGGAGAGGTGATGGAGTCACCATCCCTGGATGTGTTTAAAACAAGACTGGATGTGGCACTCAGTGCTGTAGTCTAGTTGAGGTGGTGTTAGGGCATGGCTTGGACTCAATGATCTTAAAGGTCTCTTCCATCTTAGTGATTCTGTCTGTGCAGAAAATGTCTAATGCCAGTTCCAAAGATTTCCTCATTTTGCTATCTTTCCTGTTTGAAGATTGCCCAGCTTCCAGCCTTTTCCTCTGAAAGGAGCTGCTACAAACTGCAATATGGTCCTCAAGTGGGAGGAAAACACCGTGGGTTGTAGCAGCTCAGTGTTGTGTTTGCAGGAATCCTCCAGGAAAAGTGAAAGAAACATGCAGTGAGACTTTCCCCCACTGTTTTGTCTTTCATGATTTTAAGACTTCCTGAGGCAGCAGTGAGAGTTCAGGATTAATGGCTTTTTTTCCTGCTTAATTTAACCTCTTGCTTTTTAAATCTCCCCAAGCTTTTCTACTTAAGGCTTCTATACCCATAACCTATTACAACATCACCCTGTACATAATTACAAATGGGTTTTGGCTGTGTCGTTAAAAATATGAATTAATGAGGGTGATGTAAAATTAGAGCATCCCTTGTTTTTATTTCTCTTGATAAAATCTTCAAAATTGGGCCAAAACTGGCTTTGTTCACTTTTTTCCTCAAAGCCCCCTGAGCTGTCTTCCTTTCCTGACTCTCATAATCTATTTCCTGAGATTTCAGTGAACATCCAGCATATTTCCATGACTAATTGTTGAAGCCTTGGTGTGCATCCAGAGTAATTCCATGATTTCATTTTCTTGCAAAAGAAACAAACCAAGGTGGGCCAGGCCAGTGAAACAGCTGTAAGGCTGTGGTTTTCAGGAGAAATTCCTAGTCCTCTGGAAGTCTTTCTCCCTTACCAGCAACTGGGATATTTTTACCCCTTCCAGGATGTGTGGTAGATTTGGGGTGAGCAGAGTTAGGACTTGTCAGCTTCAGCCCACAAACAGCTCGGGTTTACATGAGCACAGCAGGTGACTTTTACAGACTTTGAGGCAGGTTGAGCGAGGTCCTAGGTGTTGGCTTGGGTTCATTTTGGAATACAGGAGGTAGAGAAGGGATGTCTTACCCTGTAAAATGTGTATTTGGAGAGTGGGGTGAGTGATATGTGAGTTTTAGGAGGGGGATGGAATTGGGCCTGGCTTTGTGCAGGAGTGCAGGACTGAGATGTCATCCAGAGCTTGGGTCCTACAGCTGAAAGTTGACCTCTTGTTGGCCTCTAGCGTGCCAAGTGAGGGCCAGAATTCCCCTTTGGAGCCGTGGTGTGACAGGAATCAATAAACACCAAACACCAGCGCAGGTTTCCCAACAATGGCTCTGCTGCCGTGCTGGCACCGGGCTCGTGGTGCCAGGGCTGCCAGCAAAGCCTCCCACAGGGATCTCTCAGGAAGGCAGCCAGCTCGCTGGAGACTTTGTTTGCTTGTGTGCTGTACGTGAAAGGGTTGTTATTCCTCAGAAACAAAAAAAAAGCCCGGGAAGGATTGTTTGTCTTGTGAGGGAGGTGCTTTTGTGTGTGCCAGCTTGGAGTGGAGCTCTCCTCATGCAAGGCAGAGCACTGGAAGCTGTGATCCAGAAGCAGCTGGAATAGGAGATCTGCCTTTCTGCAGCCTGGCTTTGCTTTCCTCCCCTTGCCCTTTTTTTGCCTCTTTTCTTTTCCCTGAGCAGAACCAGCTGTCATTTTTTCCTGTCTAAAAGGCGATGCTTGAAGAGGAACAGCTCCTAACTTTTCTCCCAGCTCCTTGGAGGCCTGTGCCACATTCTGTGTGCCTTGTTAGGGGGCTGTGGGGCAGCCAGGGCAGAGCTGGGTGGGTCAGCAGCATTGCAGAGCTCAGGATGGGTCAGGGAGCTGCCCACCACATTTTGATGAGGTGGGCTCCTGGCTTCCATTCTTTGTGGCTGCAGGGAGCTTTGCAGCCATTGTTCTCCAGCTTTTCTGGTGCAGCTTCATTCCATCAGCATTCTGTGCCTACATCAGCTGCTCCTGTCCCACTGGACAGCCACTCTGAGTTCTGGGGCAGCTGAGGGGAGTGTGGAGCTGTTTGCAGAGGATGTGGCAGGAGCAGTCTGAGCTGGCCAAACTCTTGCCACTGACACGAGCAGCAGGCTGGCTTTGCCTTTGTGGCAGTGCAGGCTCCAGCTTGTCCACCTGAACCCTGAGAGTCCCTTGGCTCCTGCTTGAGCTGCAGTTCCTGAACGTTGGGAGAACTGGGGCCTGTTGTGTTTGCATTCCTCGTTTTCCTCCTTTGGAGCAGCAGCTGTGTGCTCTGCCAGCAGTGGCAGTTTAGTTCCAAACCAAATCCTGTCCAGCTTTGTGTCACCTTTGGTTTGGGAGCCCTTTGTCTGGGACAGAGTGGAAGTTGGTACCAAAAGCTTTCAAAACCATGCACATAAATGAGTGGTTGCAGTGTGCCTACTGAAATTCTCCTTCCTGGCAAGCCTTACCCTTTCCTCTCTCCTAAATCCTGTTTTATCACCACAGTGCTGGAATTTTGCTGTCTGTTCTTCCAAGAGAAAAGGTGCATTATCATTTGAGAAGGATGTCTGGGATTTTTTTCTTAATGGGAAATGGTTATTCTGCAAGGCCTGGCAGACTTAGGATCTTGCTGTGGTGACTGGGAAAGCTTTCAGGTTAGTTATTAACCAGTTCTGGAGAAAAAGCAAGCCCCACTGTCTGAAATAAATTCTTGCTGGGGCAATGCATCTCTGACTGAAAATAAACCAGGTACACATCCTCAGGAAATCACATTTCAGCATGACTGGAGTTGGACATGCTGAAACTGGACTTGTAAGGGGACAGGAAGGGTGCTGGTGGAGTTTGTGCCTGCTGCAAATCTTTTGGGATGTTTGAAAGTCTCCTTGGATGGCATGAAATTCTTTGTTTCTGTGTTATCAAACCGATTCTCTCAAACTCATTTGTATAAATCCGTCACAAAAGGGATTATCTTAAACAGCAGGAAATGTTAGTAGAGCAAGAGCTCTGGCTTGATAACTTACTCCATCTGTTGGACACTGTAGGTGATTGTTATAACTACAGGAATTGGGCTGAAATATTTTCTAGTATTTGAAGATGTAACACTGGGAAGGACAAACAGAATAACGTTATCTGGACCTGAAGGACAAAGGATGGAATGGGCAAGTAAAGGATATGTTGAGCTCATAATTGTATATTTGCATCAGTTCTTCATCTCCAGCTCTAAGGAGGAGACTTTCATCAGTCTCACTCCAGAGAATTTGAGCTTTCCCAATGACTTGTGGTTGGAAAGAAGTGTATTCCAAAACACCAGGTAATGGGTGAGGAGGAGAGTGAAACAGGAATGGGGCAATGGACTGTGTGTCATATCACAGAAATTACATCAAGGTTGAGGAAAAAGAGATCTTTTCTATTCAGGGTTTGTAGTTCTCCCTTAAAAATCATTAACAGGGAAGGAAACACCTACAGTGGTTTCTGAAATTTAGGGGAATTCCAGAGAAGGGCTTGGGTCACACACCTGCCTGAACATGGGAAAACTCCTAGGTCACAGCTGGTTACCTTGCCACTGGTGTGGCACTGGGATTAAATAAAACCTGGAGAAACACCTCTTTTGCTGCTGTGGGCAAGCCTGTTTTTCTAACCTGGCTGGTGGAGGGAAGTCCCTGAAAGTCTCTTTGCTGATGCTCTATTTTCTGTTGGTGTTCTATTTTCTATCTGATGTTCTATTTCCTGCTGGCTTAGCTGAGCCTAAGTAGTGCCAGCTCCAGGGCTGAGCTCCATGGTGAGCACCCCTTGGGTGAGGGGACTGTAAGCAGGAGCTCCCCTCTGCCACAAGAAGTGCCTTTTTCCCTTTTAGGACACACTCCCACCTTGCTTTTCTTTTGGCTTAGGGTCATCCAGCAGCCGCCACCCGAACCAGGTGACCCCGAAGAAGAGCGGCCTGAAGAATGGGCAGATGAAGAGCAAGGATGATGAATGCTTTGGGGATGACATTGATGAAATCCCAGACACCGATTTCGATTTTGAGGGCAACCTGGCCCTTTTTGACAAGGCAGCTGTGTTTGAAGAGATCGAGACTTACGAGAGGAGGAGCGGCACCCGCTCCCGAGGGACCCCCAACGAGAAACCCGCCCGCTACCGGCACGACGAGAACATCCTGGAGTCGGAGCCCATCGTCTACAGGAGGATTGTGGTACCCCAGAACCCCAACAAGGAGTTCTGCACGGGTATGTTCCTCATAAGGACCCAAACTGCTGCTTTTGGGGGCACACACCGTGCATTTTTGCTGTGAGGGGTCAGCTTGATGTGGCCCAAGCAAGGCTGGATTTGTGTGTCCACACACAGCCTTTCTTTGCAGTGTTTCTGAGAGAAATACTCAGAGAGGGCAGCAAAGTAAGTGTTGCTCCAGCAGAGAGCAAAGCTGATGGTTGGGAACTGAGTAAGAGGTGTTTGAATCCTTGCTTTGATTTCAGTAGCCTGGGGAACCCTCCGGAGAGGGACAGAGGGATGGGCTCAGGATTTGTGCTTTCGTGGTTGCAGGAGATTTCCTGTGCTTCTGGCACTCCTTGGGCTGTAGTTCTCCATTTCTGTGGGGATTTAAATATAGTTCATGTAAAAAGGACTTATGGCACATTTAGTCCAAATTCCAGGTAACTTTAGTCTCCTTGGGATATCTTGCCTTTGATTTTAAGCACTTGGAAAATGTGGGAGTGAAGGAAATTTGGCATTTTAGGAGTGTTTCTTTTCCACATCAGAAAGAAATCAGATGTCAACTCTTCTTGCAGGGACTCAAACCAACTGATATTCTGGTAGCCTGAGCAGAAGTGTGAGCAGCTCCTTGGGCTGTCATTCGTCCTCTGCCTGGGAATTCCATCTGGGGTGTGAAACGCTTCAGGGGAGGAAGCTGATGGATTTGTAATGATCTGCTGCTTTTCAGTTTTGAAAAGTCTCTTTTTTTAATGGTTCTGGTGTATAACAATGTCCTAGTTCTCCATTTCTGTCATTCCTCTTCCTAGTGTCCCATCCTGCTCTTGGGTGAGAGGAAAACACCGTGGGTTGTAGCAGCTCAGTGTTGTGTTTGCAGGAATCCTCCAGGAAAAGTGAAAGAAACATGCAGTGAGACTTTCCCCCACTGCTTTGTCTTTCATGATTTTAAGACTTCCTGAGGCAGCAGTGAGAGTTCAGGATTAATGGCTTTTTTTCCTGCTTAATTTAACCTCTTGCTTTTTAAATCTCCCCAAGCTTTCAGCATCTCTCTGTGGAAGAAGCCACACTGATGACCTCTGTGCTGTGTGAACAAGCACCTCTCCATTTGCTGTGTGGTTTCTTGTCTATCTTGTGGGGTTTTTCAAATTTCATACTTGTCAATCCATCTTCCAGCTGGCTTGTTTGAGAGGAGACAGGGCCTCTGTGGATGTCTAGTTTGAAACAAAAGCTAAGCCACTGTTGGCAGCCAGTCTGAGCAGGATGGCTGATAGGGGATTCTAGCAGCAGAATTCCTGGGAGGAAAACCACCATGCACTGAGCAGCAGTGAGTAAATTCAGGGTTGGAAACCCAATCCTGTTTGCTGCTCTCCCAATCCCTTTGTTTAGCAGCTGGAAGGAGGATGCTGAGCTGTAGGCAGCCTGCCTCTCAGTGGCTCAAAGAGCAGCTGGTGATTAAATGAGTGCCAGGAGCCCCAAAAGCCTTTTTGGTTTTGGATGTGTCTGTGGCAGGATTCTCCCTGCAGAGTTTTTTCTGGTTTCCTAAGGGAAGCTCTCCTTGCAAAAAGCACTTCCTAGTTATGACAAAGCACTTCTTTCTCTTGTTTTTTTTTTTTTCCACCCTGGGCCAGTCTGAGAGATGATTGTGTTAATAGAGACAGTGAGACAGTGATTCTGACTGAGACAGTGATTCTCTGTCTGCTGCAACAGCACAAAACTGATGCTGGAGATTGGCAGGGAGTTCATATCCAGCTCTTGGCACTTTGGGATCCCTGTCTCTGGATCCCTGCCTGCTTTTTGATGCCGTGGAGGATGCTACAGAGGTAAAACCAAACTGCTGATGTCAGTTTTGAGTCAGTCTTTTGAGTTCCCCAAAAGGCTCACCTGCAGGACTTCCAGCCTGGGATTTTATTGCTGACTGAAAGAACTTGGTGTGTGTGGGATAAACACTTCATTCCACTGGGATGCTTTTCTGAGAGCTGGTTTTGTGTGGAGCTAGGCTGTCAAGTAAAACACTTCTAAAACAACCCTGTGTTTTACAAGTGAGCAGGGAATGAAGAAGGTGGGAATCTGGTCCAAGCCAAAGTGAAAACCTGGAGCTAATAGAACTTAGCAGGTGATTGTAACTGAGCTAAGTCCATCTCTGGGACTCCACATGTGAATCCCTCCTAAATACATCATTAGTCTTCACTGGTGGTTTGGGCTGGCTGCTGTTGATCTGTCTCTTTATTTACTGGGAAATGCAACTGTTTGGCAAAAACTGCCTCCCTGGAAAGGCTGTTCCTTGCATAAGGTGTGAGCTGCCTTTTTCTACTTGCAGAGAATTTAAATGTGTGTTGTCTCTGTTTCTCCTGTTGGCACTAAAACTCCTGTGTTTGAACATCTCTGTGTTTTGGGAGCAGGTCCTCAGCAGAGCCAACATTGTGCAGGAGTGTTGGAGCTCAGAGGAGTTTGCAGGAGGGTCTGTTCTTCAAACAAGCCTTTCCTTCACAATGAGGAGGTGCAGGCGCAGGCAGAGCTTTGTGCCAGGATCAGAGGCTGGGTGTGCCCTGAGGGTGATGCCCACAGTGTGGCTTTTCCTTTGGAAAGGATTTTTCTTTCCCTGTCCTTGACTGACTTTTCTCCTCTTTTAGCTCTTCTGTGGCTGGATGTGAATATTGAATGTGTGAAGTATTCTGGGCTGCTTTGAGGAGAGAGAAAACTTTCACTCTCCTCAATTTTGCTTCAGCAGCAAACAGTGGGCCTGGGGCAGAGTCCCTTTGTCCCTCTGACAGTTTTTTTGCTCAGTTGGAGGGAATTGTGCACTAATGCTGGGAGAGGCTCACACTGGAAGGTCAGCCAGAACTCTGGTGGGATTTGCTGTAATTAAAAACAACGATGATTAACAAAAGCAGCCCTTAAAGTTATGTTGTTTGAGGGGCAGTAAATGTGTTTGGCTGAGTCTGCAGGCAGGTGGTTCCAGCTTTATCACCAGCAGAAGGCAGCAGGGAATGTATCCTGTGCCTGGTGTGGACAAGAGCTCCAGACTGTCACACTGTGAGGCTCTGGACCTGGAGTTGGGACCTGGCATTACTCATTGCCAAAGGAAAGAACTGATGATGTCAGGACAGCTTGCAGGAGGTGCTGAGTCCAGTTCTGCCTGAGCCATTGCCTGGATTTATTTTAGCAGAGAACTGGAACTAGAGAGCTGCTGAAATGGCCAAGGGAAATATGGGATCCAGCCTCTTGAGTTCCTCTAGTGTCAACCTTTTTCCCTGCCACTGCAAGCTTGGGAAGCATTTGGGCATCCCAGCAGCATTACAGGGCTAGTCTGGGGAAAAACTCCTAATTCTTTAACTTCTGCAGAGTTAACTCAGCTCTTCTGCTGCCTTGGGATGTTTTTATCAACCCAGTGTCACTCTGCATGTCACAAAACCATTCAGTCTATATTTGCCTTGTGTTTTGTTTTTGTTTTTTTTTTCCCAGGCAGCTGTAAAATACATTTATTTAATATTAAAAGGCCTGGGCTAATTTATTTTATTGCCTTCATTAGCAAACAATAAAGGTGCCCTGTCCAACCCAAACATAATTAAAGTTGGCAGAGCTTCAGTTTTGTGGCAGTGGTGTTATTGTTAGTGGCTTTACTCTGCCAGAGTTTATTTAACTCCCTGGGCTTGCTTTTGATGAGCCAGTCTGACTGGTTGGACCTTGCGTGAGGGCAGAGAAGGGAAGTTCTCCTGGCATTTCAGCTGCTCCTGAGAGGCAGCAATTAGGACAGGCTGGCGTGCTAAATGCCACTCCATCAGTGCCTCGTGTTAACCCCCTGGTGCCAGCCAGCCCATGGCAAAGGCAGTTTTCCTGAAGCTGCTGGCTGAGGGAAGGATGTGCAGAGGACACGAGATCTGTGCTGAGCTGGGTGCACACAGGGTGGAGATTGTCTGGTTTGTCCTTCTACTTCAGGGACTTGGTGCCGCATTTGAGCAGGGGATTCGTGGGTGCTTCTGATGGAGCAAAAGTAGAGATTGGGATCTCCCTCTTGTGGGGTCAGCAATGACGCTGGGAGAGACCCCAACCTCGGGTCACTCATTGCAAACCTTCCCTGGAGCTTGAAAAAAGCCAGCAGTGGCAGAGCTGTGACTGACAGTGTGGCATGGGGCAGCTGGGTGACCCACGGGGCAGGCGGTGACCCACGGGACAGCTGGGTCACCCATGGGGCAGGTGGTGACCCACAGGACAGGTGGTGACTGCTGCAGGCATGGGGCAGGTGGATGACCCATGGGACAGGCGGTGACCGCTGTGGGCACAGGGCAGGTGGGTGACCCAGGGGCAGGCGGTGACCGCTGTGGGCACAGGGCAGGTGGGTGACCCAGGGGCAGGCGGTGACCACTGTGGGCACAGGGCAGGTGGGTGACCCATGGGACAGGCGGTGACCGCATTGGGCACAGGGCAGGGCATGGCACGGGGCAGGTGGGTGACCGTGACCGCTGCGGGCACAGGGCAGGGTTGTTCCTGCAGGGCTCAGGCTCTTATCAGCACTCAGGCATGGCTGATAACAGCCTGCTGGCCTGCCCTGGCAGCCAGGGTGACCCCGTGGGCAGTGGTGGCACACGTGGAGCCCTCTCTGTGTGCAAGGCCTGGCTGCTGAGGCCAGGGATGAGCTCCAGGGGGGCTCAGCAGTGTCCCCTCTGCTGCTTTTGCTGTCCCCCTGCAGGGACATCTCTGGGTTCACCTCTGGTGGAAAACATGGGGTTGTTTTTTCTGTTGTTTTGTGGGGTTTTTTTTTGCTCTTGGGTTTTTGTTTGTTTGTTTTGGGGGGGTTGGGTTTTTTCGTTGTTTTTTTTTGTTTCTTAGGGGTTTTTTGGGGTTCTTTGGTGGTTTTTTGTTTTGTTGGGGTTTTTTTGTTTTTTGGGAGTTTTTTGTGTTTATTTTTGTTTGATTGGTTGGTTTGTTTTTGGGTTTTTTTTGTTTTTTGAGGGTTGTTTTGGGGTTTTTTTGGGGTTTCTTTTTGGGGGGGCTTTGTTGTTTCTTTGTGGGTTTTTGTGTGGTTTTGGTTTTTTGTTTGGGTTTTTTTTTGTTGTTTTTTTTTGTTATGGTTGGGTCGGGATTAAATGTGTAGAGATGGTATTTTGTGGTGTTTGGACTCAGATGTTTATTAATTTTTATCTATATTACAGTCTTACAAGCTGTGAGTTCTACAGCATTTCATTAACAAGTTAGAAAATGGCTCTGTATCTGTCTCTACAAGGTCTTTTAAGGAAAAACTAATTTAGAAATTACACTTAAATTATTGTTACTTTTAACTAATTACTTGTGTCTTGTAATGTGGACTTTTCAATTATACAATACTACTTAAACTTGTGAAGGACTAATCACTGCCTTAAAACTTCTATCTTAGCTCATCTATATTACTATATTTTAAAACTTTAAACTGTAAGTTTTTTACTATGTGATATTACACACTTCTATTTAAACTACATACTTATAATCTCAGTGTTTATCAATTAATTTTGGAAGCTTTTTCTATGGCTTCAGCTCAAACGTAGTGTTCTCTTGAGGGTCTGTGTCTTTCAATGCAGAAAATCCAAAATTCTCAGCATGAAGGGTTCCAACACCCCAGGATGTGCAAAACCTCCCATTTCTGCTGGAGCTTGACTGGATGTCTTGGTTTGAAAAGCCAGGTGTCTGCTAAGGAAGGCAGGAGCCTCCCCTGGAAAGGAAAATGTAAATCCTCTCTGAATTGTTATAATTTTGAAATTAAGGGGCTCTCAGGATTGTGCAGGAGATAAAGAACACTGCCCAATAAACAGAAGATAATAGAATACACCTCTAACAGTTGATAATAGAATACACACCCCAGGCACATCTCACAACCCATGACACTGGGGCACCCTGGGGGCATACAGCAGCACAAATAATTCCTCACAGCCCAAATCCACACTGTTCTTGTCATGTGGCCCTTGGCTGTGAGAGCTGGTTCTTGTGTTTGCTGTGTGCAGGGGAGCCCAGCCACGAGGGACGGCTGCGTTTGCTCCTGGGGTGGGTGCATGAGGGCTGCCTGTGCCCCTTGGAGCATTTCCACCAGCCCTGTCACATTCCCACAGCTCTTTCCCAGCAGCACAGGCAGCCCCAGCCCTGCTGGGCTACCAGGAGCACTCAGTGGGCCACTGTCACCCCCAGTGCAGAGACAGAGGGAGCAGGGGGAGTGTGATGGTGACCCAGGGCTGCTGTGCACTGGGCAAGGTGGGAGGAGAGATGCTGATGGCGAGACTGAGCTCACACTTTTTGAGCTGATGTTTTCTCTAGCAGGCATGGATTTAATCCTCAGCCTTTTTGCTCCATGGTGCATCTCCTCTGCCTGTCTCAGAGTGGGAGCTGGCTGCTGCACTCAGCTGGCATTCCTGGGAAGAGCTGAGAGCTTCTTGTGCTCCAGCTCTGATGCCATCCCATAAGGGGATGGCACAGGTTGTCCAGAGAAGCTGTGCCTGTCCCTACATCCCTGGAAGTGTCCCAGGCCAGGCTGGGACAGTTCTCAGCACTTCACAAAACCTCTCTTGTTGCTCTTGTCTGGATCCAAATGCTGGAGCATTTCCCAGCTCGCTAGCCCAGGCTCTCCAGAGCACCTGGGAGGTGTTTTTCTGCAGAGTTTATCCTCTGAGCATTTCCCTGCTGCCCCTGTGTGCTGTGATCCAGCTATTGGGTCTGGAGAAGTTCTTCTGGCACCTACCAGCAAGTGTGGGATTGCTTGTTTTGCTGTGATCTTGGGATTTTGGTGTCAGGAAGCATAAAACATCCAGGCTTTTTTTGGTACTTCACAGCTGCTCTTCTGACTTTCACAGTGCCCAGGAGCACTTTATGGTGGGTTAAAGCACTGTTGGCCTGGATACCATTAAGAAAAAACTTAATATTCCATCTGTAAGTCCCAAAGGCTTTCTCAGCCCTTGTGTTACTAAAATTTCCCACAGAACTTTTGTGGAAATGTTATTTTAAGCCAGCACTTGTGTTTAGCTGTCTCTGCCTCACTGAGGATAATTTGGATTCGTTTGGTGGCTTGGGAAGGAACGTGGGTGAACAGTTAATGAACTTTTTCACTGCCACTGTTTTGAGGTGTCTGACTGTCCCCATTTGTGTCTCCCTCCCCTGTCTGTGCCCCCCAGACTCGGGGCTGGTGGTCCCCAGCGTGTCCTACGAGCTGCACAAGAAGCTGCTGGCGGTGGCCGAGAAGCACGGGCTGACCCTGGAGAGGAGGCTGGAGATGACAGGGGTGTGTGCCAGCCAGATGGCCCTGAGCCTCCTGGGGGGGCCCAACAGGTACAGCTGGGGCCTCTGGGGGGAGGGAAGGGGCTGACAGGACCCTCTCAGCTCACTGCTGCCACTTTTGGCTCTTGGCTCACAGACAAAGCCCTGCTGAGGTTTTCCTTCCCCCTCACTGGGAGTTGTTTGGGGAGCTGAGCTTTGCACAGGTGCTGCCTGAGGTGGATGGAGCCACTGCAGAATGTGTGATGAGCTCCTTTCTGCACAGAAAGGAACCTTCCCTTTGCTGATTTGGCACATTACAATTTCACTGTCAATAAAGGCAGCCTGTGAAAGCAGCGCTGCGTGGATTTTAGTGAGGCTAACTCAGCTCTTCAGGCATCTGCAGCTCACCTGAGCACATCCTGCTCTTTGGGAGGGCTCTTTGCAGCAGCTTTGGAGTGCACTCAGTGCCTTTTGCTGACTCCTGAAGAGCTCTGTTCCCTCCCTCTGCTTCTGTGGCTGTTGCTGTGGGCAGGAACTGCACCTGTGTTTTTGTGCTGTTGATAGCTGTTCCAGATTATTTGCTATCAAAAAGAAAATTAACCCTTCAATCTCCATCTGCTTACTCAGGAGTGCTTTACCAGCACCTGATCACTTACTCAGGAGTGCTTTACCAGCACCTGATCACTTACTCAGAAGTGCTTTACCAGCACCTGATCACTTGATGGAGAGCACTGAGTGATGGCACACAGGCAGCTAAAATTCCTGCTGCAAACCCTCATGGCTTCCCCTGGTACCTTCCAGTCCAGTTGAACTTTATTGTGCAGTTAATGAAGCTTAGGGAGTAGAGATAATTTTTCTTCTTTTTTAATTGTGACTCCTCTGATGGGGAAACTCACCTCAAATTTTTAGCTTTCTTCTGCAATCTTCGGAACCTTGTGCTCTCAGCTGTGGGTGCAGGGAAGGGGAAGAGAAGGCTGGAACAACCTTCAGGTATCTGAAGTGGCCTATAAGGAAGTCAGAGAGGGTTCATCAGGAATTTAAAGAGGGGAAATTTAGGTTAAATATGTGGAAGGAATTCTTTACTGTGAGAGTGCTGAGGGCCTAGCAGAGCTGTGGCTGCTCCATCCCTGGGAGTGTCCATGGCCAGGCTGGACAGAACTTGGAGCAGCCTGGGATAGTGGAAGGTGTCCCTGCCCCATGAAAGACCTTTAGGGTCCCTTCCACCCAAACAAGTCTGAGCTTCTCTGAACCTGCAGGCGGAGCAGCATCAGCACCACAAAAGGATGTGGGCTGCTTTGGAGAGCGGTGGCAGATTTGCAGAACACATGGCAATTTGCATCTTACTGGGTTTTTTAAAAGTTGTTGGTTTTTTTTCTCATGCAGGAAGAAGATAAGAGACTTTGGGGTTTGCTCACAGTCCCTTTTTTTTTGCCTGTGTTTCAGACTGAACCCCAAGAACGTGCACCAGCGGCCCACGGTGGCGCTGCTCTGCGGCCCCCACGTGAAGGGGGCGCAGGGCATCAGCTGCGGGCGGCACCTCTCCAACCACGACGTGCACGTCATCCTCTTCCTCCCCAACTTCGTCAAGATGCTGGAGTCCATCACCAACGAGCTCAACCTCTTCAGCAAGACACAGGGCCAGCAGGTGTCCAGCGTCAAAGGTCAGTGGCCAAGCAGGGCTGGCTTCTGCTGGGGGAGCAGAGCTGGCTTCTCAAGGGCTGCCTTCTCCAGGGGGAGCTGGGCTGGCTTCTCCTGGCAGAGCAGCACTGGCTTCTCCAGGGGAAGCCAGGCTGACTTCTCCTGGCAGAGCAGCACTGGCTTCTCCAGGGGAAGCTGGGCTGGCTTCTCTAGAGGTGGTTTCTGCAGGGGGAGCAGAGCTGGCTTCTGCAGGGAGAGTAGGGCTGGCTCCTCCAGGGAGCAAAGCTGGCTTCTGCCCGCTGCCCTGGCACCATCTAGTGGCACTGCCAAGCCTGGGTGGCTGCCCAGAGGCTGCAGGGACGGCAGGCACTCAGAGCCTCGACACAGGAGCGCTTGTGCTGCCACAGATGTTTCCGGTGGGAAGAGGTCAGGAAGAGCTGCTGTATGGAGCTGTTCTGGTAGGATAAGGGGCTGCCTTGTTCAGCATGTTGGAGCTGGGAGGGAATGAGTGTCCAGCTGCTGCTGCAAAGCAGGAGCCAGCTCTGCTGAGCCACTTGCAACAGCTGTCAGGATTCCCATCTCAGTATTCCCTAGAATAAACAGTTCCTGGGAGAGTGCTGGCTTCTGCTTGGCACCTCACCACTTGTTTTCCAAGCTGCTTCATTTGAACTTCTGGGGAGAAACAAAGCTGGGAGTTAGGGCTGTGCTGTGCTGACAGAGCTACTTGTCTATGTGAAAATATTGTAAAACATTGGAACAGTTTGCCCAAAGCAGCTGTGGCTGCCCCTGGATCCCTGGAAGTGTCCCAGGCCAGGCTGGATGGGGCTTGAAGCACCCTGGGACACTGGAACGTCCCTCCCCATGGCAGGGGGTAGGATCAGATGAACTCTAAGGTCCATTCCAACCCAAACCATTCTATGGTTTTGCACGAAGGACTTTATGTTCCATCAGGTGAGGGGAATGCAGTACAGGTGAGAGAATGCAGCAGGTGAGGGAATGCAGCAGGAGTGGTGCAGTACAGGTAAGAGAATGCAGCAGGAGTGGTGCAGAGCAGGTGAGGGAATGCAGCAGGAGTGGTGCAGTACAGGTGAGAGAATGCAGCAGTTCTCAGCCGTGTCTGTGTTTCTTGCAGACCTCCCAGACACCCCGGTTGACTTAGTGATCAACTGCCTGGATTGTCACGAGAATGCCTTCCTGAGAGACCAGCCTTGGTACAAAGCAGTGGTGGACTGGGCCAACCAGAACCGTGCCCCCGTGCTGAGCATAGACCCCCCCATCAGCGAGATGGAGCTGGGCATCGACGCCAAGTGGTCGCTGGCCCTGGGGCTGCCGCTGCCGCTGGGCGAGCGCGCCGGCCGCGTCTACCTCTGTGACATTGGCATTCCCCAGAAGGTCTTTCAGGAGGTGGGCATCAACTACCACTCACCCTTTGGCTCCAAATTTGTCATCCCCCTGCACTCCACTTAGAGCCCGTGCAGCACTCTGGCTCTGAAGGGAGAGAGGAGGAGCTCTGTGAAAGCCAAGCTGTGCGCTGGATCCCGGCTGGTCGACTCTGGTGACGCCTTAAAGAAAAGAAAAAAGGATGTGAAGTTCTGGAGGGTTTGCCTTCTGGAAGAAACGCTGTGTATTTAAAAAGAAAAAATGGAATAATCATAAAATGAGATGAAAAAAAACCAACAAACAGAAAATGAGGAGGAGGAGGAGGAAGCGAATTGTTCCTGCAAAGCTGTTTTCATTCTCTCCTGCTGTGGAATGAAGGAGCGTGCAGGACCATGGTGTCTGTCCCCTGCTGCTGCCCAGCCCTGGCTGGCACATGGTACAAATAAGGCTGGTTTGGAGCTTTGAGATGTGTTTCGAGTCCTTCTGGTTGACTATTCCCAGCAAGGACATCCTGGTGGGAGCAGCATCCCTTGATTGTGTAGAAATCCCTTGTGTCGAGGGAAAATCTTGTTTGGTTCCCATGTTGGTTCTGACTGCCCCATCCCTGTTTTGTGTTCTGGAAGGCAGTTGTAGCTCCCTCTGCTTCCCAGCCCGTCCAGCCCCTCACAGAGAGGGTTCCCTGTTTGGAGAGCTTGTGTCAGGAGCCAGGGGCTCCCACATGCTCTGGGAGCACTGATGTCCTTCCTCAGCTAGGCCTTACTGCTTATGTACTGTTGGCTTTTCTTTGTTCGCTTCGTGGCCAAAGCCCACCTCTGTGGGGTGGAGGCCTGGTATGGAAAAGAACTTTTCCAGCCTCCTCATGGCATTTGGGATTGTTTTCTTTTGTTCTTTCTCTGCGCTGGCCTGGTGAGTGGCTGCTCCAGGGCTGGGGGAATGGAGCAGGGCAGGGCAGGTTGCTCTGGGGTTGTTGGGTGCTGTGTGATGCAGGTGATGTTCAGGGTAAGCTCCCCTGTCCTTCCAGCATCCCTGCTACATTTGGTATTGTTTGGGAAGTAGCTCATGGATCTGTTCGTTCCCCTTGGAATCAAAGCCTGTGTGTGGGGTGGGCTTGGCCTGGGGAGGGCTTTGGTTCCTGTCTGCTGGCAGGAGAGGGTGTGGTGGGAGCTGCTGTGCTCCTGGAGGGCTGTGGAATTCCCTGGGCGGGATTTCCATCAGAAATCTGCCCTGCTGTCCTGTGCCTGGCCAGAAATGTTGAATTATCCTTTCCTGTGTTCCTTTTGCTGGCCTGGGTGCAGTGCCCGGAGCAGGCACGAGCAGAGGAGCCACCAGCTTGCTGGTTTGGCATCAGCTCGGGCACCCACCCTGCTGGCTCTGTGTGCCCCCAGAGCCGAGCCAGGGAGCTGCTCCTCGGGAGGAGCTGGGAACATGGGCAGTGCTGGGAGCTCTGCTGCTCCTCTCACACTTCACCCATCCCCAGGGCTCCTGCAGGCTCCTCCACCTCGCCCAGCCCTGCTCTGGCACCGGGGAGAGCTCTGGGTGCTGCCTCTGTTCCCAGGAGCTGGATCCCTTGTGGGGCTGAAGCACAGGGACCAGTCCAGTGTGGGACCAGTCCCACAGACCCGCTTGTGCCCCACGCTGGGGCTTTAGTCAGGCACTCATCTTTCCTTCCCTCTGTTAGAACCAAGGCCAGGGCTGCCAGAGGAGGAGGGAAGAGCCTTCCCTGCTCGGAGGAAGCGATTACTGGGTCTAGCCTGGGAGTGTGGAGGGCCCAGGAGGCTGCTGAGCCCCGGGCTCACCCCGAGGTCTGGCCCCTGCACGTTGCCATATCTACCTCAGCAGGGCCAGGGGCTGTGCCCTGGCTGGCTGCAGCCCTGCTTCCCCTCAGCTGCTCTGGGACTCTGCTGCCTGGGGGCTGTGCCCTCCGTCCTGGGCACAGGGCCACGTGTGCCCCACGGTTCAGCCCCAGCTGCGGTGGCACCGACCAGGCTGTGCTTCTGACTGGGACAGCACTGGTTACTCACAACACAAACACAAGGTTTCCCTCTGCCTTTTTTGGTTTTTTGGCTGTTTCCTTGGATCTTCACCCGGGAGCAGCAGCAGGTTAAAAGGTTGTTGCTGTAGTCAGTGTTAGCTTTAGTCCTCTTCCTTTCACTCTCTTTGCTCAAGACACTCAGTAGGAGACTTGCTGTTTCAATTTCTGCTTTCTGCAGGTTTTTCCTGCCCTTTCTGGGTTTGGCTGTTGAACTGTAGCTTGTACACACAGACCAGGAGCAGGGCAGGGACAGTCCAGGGTGTAGCTGCCCTGCCTGGAAGGCACTGGGGCAGGTGATGGTGTTTTTGCAGGGATGGAGCTCTGGGAAGCACCAAGACCCCGGTTGTTGCCAGCCTTGAAATGCTTCCCCACGTTGAACTATAAAAATAAAGTGAACGGTGTTGCACAACAGGGGGGTTCAGCCCCTGGTGTAGGGAACAGGATTCCCAAATCTGTGCAGGGTTCAGGGCACAGCAGGCAGCGTGGGGCTGTGCTCACTGCCTGCAACATTTGTGTGTTTGGCTGTACTTCCCCTCACTGCAGCTGTTTCTTGGCTTCACGCACCTGGAAAGTGAGGTACCAGCTCTTCTGGAGCACTCAGAGACCCCCCATGATGCCAGAGTTAATTCCAAGAGCAGAGCACTGTGGTAGCTGTGTTTGGGATAGTTCCTACCCCCACCTGCCCCAGCAGCACAGCAGCTGCCCCTGGGTGCTGCTCTGGGCCCACTCTGGTGACAGGTGACGATCACTGCGCGTGGCACTGCTTGGTGACCCCATTTGTGACCTGATGTTTGTAACGACCAATTCCTGCCGCTGCGGGGGACCACGCCCTGAAATAAAGTGCAACTCTTCATGTGTGCTATTGTGTGCAGATGTTTATTTGTCTGCTCTCCTTCTAGAACCTTCTGCTGCCAGGCCAGACACCGGGCCACTCTCCCCCCACTGATTCCAGGTGATTTTTCACCATCTCCCTCTTCCTTTGCACAAGAGGCAAAGCTGGGCCAATGCAACCCTATACCCTCTTACAAGGGAAGTATCAAACAATAAGAAACACTTTATTTTAACTTTACAACATATAAATAGACAAATCTGTGCTTTCCAACGGAGCTTTCCTTCCCCCTCTCCTCCCAGGGTCCTTGTGGCAGTGCCCCAGCCCCTGTGGACTCGGGGAGGGGAGTGGGGCTGAGCTGCAGAGGCCGGTGGGGTCCATCCCGAGAGATCCATACCAAGGAATCCGTGCTAAGGGCTCCATCCTGCAGGATCCATCCTGAGGGATCCATGCCGAGGGATCCCGGCCGTCATCTGCTCAGGTCTCGGCCGCGCCCGCACAGCATCCGCTCCTCTGCCGAGAGCCCGGCAAAGAAGGGGTGCAGGAGGGCCTCGGAGAACGTGATCCGCTGCGAGGGGTCGAATTCCAGCATCCTCCTCATCAGATCAAAGAGCTGAGCGTGCTCCAGAGAGTCCTGCAGCATGTATGTCTGAAAGGGACAGGGACACGGGCTCAGCCCCTGCCTGGCCAGGGCAGCCTCCCACCCCAAATGCAGCATCCCCCGGGGCTCTTCCCATCCCAAATGCAGCATCCCCAGGGCAGCCTCCCACCCCAAATACACCATCCCCCAGGGCTGTTTCCCATCCCAAGTACAGCATCCCCCAGGGCTGCTTCCCATCCCAAACACAGCATGCCCCAGGGCAGCCTCCCACCCCAAACAGCATTCCCCCCTGTCCCTCATCCCCATCCTGCCCTAGCCAGAGCAGCATCCCTGCAGATGAGAGCTGGGGCTCCCTACCAAGCAGTTACAGTGGGAATTGCAGCCCTGAGCCCCACGCCTGCCCCAGGGAGGGGAGGGAGCAGCACCCACCCGCAGGGGCTTGCAGTTCTCCTGGACGTATCTGCCATCGGACGTGTTCTCATCCCACACCAGGTTGCCATTGTGGAAATATTTCTGCTTCCTGCACGGGGAAGGTGGGGATCAGGCAGGATCTCTCCCTCCCATCCAGGTGCTGGTGCCTGGGCTGAGCTCAGGACCAGGCTCTTACCGAGTTTTGTGGACCATGTGAGAGGGGAGCGGCCCCAGGATTTTCTCCATCATGACAAGATGCTCACGGTTCTCATGGGTCTGCAAAGGAGCACAGCAGGGGTGGGTTAGAGCTTGGGGAGTTCCTCTGCAGGGACAGGGAGAAAGGATTCCACCACGTCCTGTCCAACTTTTCACGTTTTGCTTTTCCCTTTTTTCAGAGAACAGAAATAACCTAAACCCAGAAATGATCCAAATTCTGTCCTTCCAGCAAGGCACTCCTCAAACCAGCCCTTTTCCAGGCCTCATTTTCACCCTCAGCTTCCCATTTTTAGTGCCTGATGTTTGTTTCCCTCCCCTTCACTTAATTCTGAGCCCTTTTGGACACGAAGGGATCTCAGGGAACAAGATTCTCACCTGGAAGAGTGTGAAGCCACGGTAATACTCGAACAGAATGCAGCCAGTGCTCCAGACATCACATGGCTGTGCCCAGCCCAGCTCTGCAAAGAAAACCAAATTGACTCCGTGCTCCCAACAACCCCCACCACATTCCTCCTTGGTGAAACCACGGGGATTCCACTCAGAGCTGGAAATTATCTGCTGGTTGTCCATCCCCAAAAGGTGCAGTTCTCACCCAGAATCACTTCTGGGGGCCGGTAGTGCCGGGTGGCCACGATGGTGGTGTGGTGCTCGTGGTCGAAGGTGGCGCTGCCGAAGTCGGCCACGCGGATGCTTGTGTTCCGGATGGACTTCTGCTCACAGCTCTGCAGGAAAAGCACAGGGCCAGCTGAGAGAGGAGCTCCAGGAGGGCTGCGCTGTGCCTCCTCACAGGGATGGAGCTGTGGAGCTCTGAGGAGCCCCAGGAGCTCTGCTCTGCACCTCCTCACAGGGATGGAGCTCCAAGCTCTGAGGAACCCCAGGAGCTCTGTTCTGCACCTCTTCACAGGGATGGAGCTGTGGAGCTCTGAGGAACCCCTAAGTGATGCTCTGCACCTCCTCACAGGGACGGAGCTGTGGAGCTCTGAGGAACCCCAGGAGCTCTGCTCTGCACCTCCTCACAGGGATGGAGCTCCAAGCTCTGAGGAACCCCAAAGTGCTGCTCTGTGCCTCCTCACAGGGATGGAGCTCCAAGCTCTGAGGAACCCCTAAGCGATGCTCTGCACCTCCTCACAGGGATGGAGCTGTGGAGCTCCAAGCTCTGAGGAACCCCTAAGCGATGCTCTGCACCTCCTCACAGGGATGGAGCTGTGGAGCTCCAAGGAGGCCCAGGAGCTGTGATGTGCACCTCCTCACAGGGATGGAGCTGTGGAGCTCTGAGGAGCCCAGGAGTGCTGCTCTGCACCTCCTCAGAGGAATGGAGCTATGGAGCTCTGGACATCCCAGAGCAGCTTTATGGAAAATCCCTGAACACTCTAGGCAGCCTGAAGGCTTTTGGAAAGCACAGCAGGAAGAAGAGCTCTGCCTTCCAGTTTGTTCCCACTTCCCAGGCACTGAAGGCCTGGATAGAGCAGGGAAGATCCAGTTTCTGCAGGGAGGGATAAAGGCAGCCTGTTCCTGTGCAGCCAGTGCTCCCTGGGACAGAACCCACCTTGTTCTCGTTGTACAGAGTGTCAAAATCCGAGTTGACAAACAGGATGTTTTCTGGCTTGAGGTCAGTGTGAGTCAGCTGGTTGTCGTGTAGAACTGCACAGAGAGACAAGGGAAACACCTCTGTAAGCAGCAGAGAGGAGCAGGGGCACTGCTGTGCCCAGCCCCGTGCCAGTGCCGCTGCCCAGCCCGCCGGGGGTCACTCACATCTCAGGGCATGGCACAGCTGGTAGGCCATGTGCCGGATCTGCGGCAGGGGGTAGGGCTGGAAGTTGTTCTCCTTCAGGAACTCGAAGGTGTTCTTGCCCAGGAGCTCAAAGGCAATGCACATGTGGCCGTGGAAGTTGAACCAGTCCGACATGAGGACGCACAGGCTGTGCAGGGACACAGAGGCAGGGCTTAACCACCTTTCAGGGATGCTCAGGACAGCTGATCTGGTGCTCCTGACACTTCAGGAGTGGCTGGGGAGCAGAGCTCCGTGCCAGCACAGCACCCCAGGGGGATGCCTCCTGCTCTGCTCAGCTGTCACCATATTTTATGAAAAATCCCTTTGCCAGGATTTTTCCCCTGAGAAGCTGAGAAGCCTCAGAAAAGAAATGTAAAGAATAATTATCTGATTGCTTTGGAATGTGGTCTGGAGGTTGTTTACCAACAGGTGCATCTTTGATTGGCTCCATGTGAATTGTTTTGACTGAATGACCAATCCCAGTCCAGCTGTGTTGGACTCTATGGTCTGTCACAAGGTTTTATTATTCATTCCTTTCTAGCTTTGTGTGTATCTTTTCTGTATCATTTAGTATAGTTTTAGTATATCATTTTCTTTTAATATAATATCATCATATAATAAATCAGCCCTCTAAGAAAAATGGAGTCAGATTCATCTCTTCCCTCGTCCTGGGACCCTCGCAAACAACACTCAGCCACCTTTGGAGAGAGCTCCCCATTTCCTGTGGGACAAGGCAGTAGAGGAATGGGGCCAGTTTCCCCTCACCCCATCCTCAGTCCCGTGTTGCTCTGTGTGCCAGGACGTGGCACTGGGAACTTACAACTTGTTCTCCTTGTCCTTCTCTTTGATTTTCTTCAGGACGTTGATTTCCAGCCTGGCAGCCTCTCGGTACTTCCCAACGTTCTTTATGATTTTCAGTGCCACCTGTGACTTGCCTCTGGCAGGGAGGAGACAGAAGGATGGAGTCAGAGACAGAACCTGTGTGCTCAGCCCACGGGGAGAGGCACATCCCACTCCTCCAGGTATTGTTTGTCCTAACAAAGCTCTGCCAGCTCTCCGTGCTGCCTGGGCAGTGGCTAATGGCAGTGAAAGGTCACTGCTGGCTGTCCCTCCCAAGGGACACTCCTGACACAGCAGTGTCTCAGCTCTCTGTGACCCCAGGGCCACCTCCCCTGTCCAGCCAGCCCTGGGAGGCAGCAGAGCCCTGCAGCAAACTGACCCCAGGGCTCGGGGCCAGACACGGGGTCAGAGGGCCCAGGGGTCAAATGTAACCACGGGGGAGGCTCAAGGGGACAATGGAGAGGTGCCCTGGCAGGTCAGGAGGTCACAGGGGCCACCCCTCAGCAGGAACTCACAGCACAACCTTCCGTGGTGGGGCTGGGGCTGGGAGGGTCAGGCTGGGTGCCAGGGAAAAGCTGGGATCAGGGAAAAGCTCTTCCCCAGAGGGTGCTGGCACTGCCCAGGCTCCCCAGGGAATGGGCACAGCCCCACGGCTGCCAGAGCTCCAGGACAACGCTCTCAGGTGTGCACAGGGTGGGATTGCAGGGGTGTCATGCAGGGCCAGGAGCTGCACTCGGATCACTGGTGTGGGTCCCTTCCAGCTCAGGATATTCCACTATTCTATTCCTCTATTGTGTACATATACACACACATATGTATGTATACCCTATATTCCTCTGTTCTAGTCTAGCCTATTCTATTAAGAATAGAATATTCTAGAATATTAGAAGATTCTAATGCTCTAGAATATAATAATATCATAATATTCTGTTCTATTAATAGAATAAAATAGAGTAGAATACGAATAGGATGCAAGGCTTCCCTTAACACACCAGCCTGTAAATTCTGGAGGGATCTGAGGTTTTCTAATATTCTAAAATAGAATAGAATATTAGAATATTCTATTCTAATAATAGAACAGACTGGACTAGAATAGAATAGGAATAGAATAGGAATAGAACAGGAATAGAACAGGAATGCTTCCCTTAATACACCAGCCTGTAAATTCTGGAGCCAGGCCCTTTCCCCTCG